CCGAAGGCACTTGCGCCGCGCTACCGACTGTCTTCCCCAAGAAAGCCGTGCCCTGCATGCTGTTGTTGCTGCCGCAGGGCTGCATCAGGGCCTTCTCGGCCTCTCGCATCGAAGTCATGACGTCACATGACCATCAACGGCTTTTTGTTGTTTTTTGTTCATGCTGGACTGCTTGCTTTCACTTGGGCCGGAAACTCGGCAGACTTGAGACGAATGCGGCGGGTAAGTTGTGAGCCTGACGCAATATTTGCCATCTGTCTTGTTACAATCCTAGGTCTACGCTGCTGGTCGTGCTCCTCGTCGGTGTGATGCGTGATACGCTTGCCGCCAGGGGGATGCAGCATGGATGTAATGCGTGCTTCTTCCAGATGCCCAGAAGATGTGCTTGTTTGCGTCCACACAGCGGGAAGACTTCACATTCTGTTTCTTCGTGTGCATGTGCATCAAAACGGAAAGAAACAACCGCAGGCAAAGTGCAAAATTTTGAACGGTGGCCGCACATACAGCCATCGTCGCTCCCGTCGCACGCCTGCTGTCCCTCTGTGGTGCACGCGTAGCTACACCACAAACGATTCACGCTGCTGTGTGTCGGGATTCGTGCACCATCAGCATCGCAGATAAGACTACTGCAAGGTATTGAGTCGCACCACGCGGCTCATCACCCCCCCATACCTAGTACGTACCGAACGAACGGCACATGCTTTTCCGAAACAACTCGCTCAATGTGAAGCATGACCTTTGCCGTGGTGTGGGCATACTGTTCCTATCCCTTTCCTCCACCCCCGTGTCGTATTTTCGTATTTTCAACAGCACCTACTACCTGGTGGTGTGCCACGAGGTGTCACGAGATGCCATGGGGTGCCGTTGGGTTCTCATGGGGTGCCGTGGTGTGCCACTGGGCACCATCGTGTGTCATGTGGTGCGCCATAAGATGCCATGAGATGTCATGGGGTGTGCTACAGATAGCGCCCGCACTTAAGAACCGCTCATTTTGCCTGAGGCTCGATGCTTATTGGCTGCCTCAAACTGAGCACCTGTTCGTATTTTCAAAGTTCTTAATTTCGAGCAGGAAAATCTGTATGAGAAACGGGGTTCTTGTTCTTTCTTCGCCGAGGGCCCCAGGACACCGAGTTTTTCAATCTGCGTGGATTCAAGCTGACACTTGATTAAGAGAAGCGTGTTCATAGAAGAGAGTATAATAGAATGTCGCTCAACAGAAACCTTTCTTTGGACCCGACGTACCGCAGCTTCCGAGACCACCATAGGGTAGAAATACAGACGCGGCATCACCTGAAATGTTGACGCATCTGGGCAAACATTGAACCATTTAGGGGTTCACAAGGGTCACGTTTGGCGTGATTGTCCTCCCCGCTCCACTAACGCGCGTCGTAGCTACACTGCGACCTTCACCCTGCTCTTCGATGGCCGGACCTCTTCCCTGCTCTACGGCGATCCCCTCAAGCAAAGCCCTCGACCCTACCACCACCGCACCCACCCGTATCTCCACTATACTTGTCCAACGGCAATTAATTTCATGTGGCGCGTACTTTGGTCTGGCCCGAAATGCGCACGGTAGTTGTAAAGGTGGCGGGTAGGCTCCTAAGACTGCCGAGTGATCAGTTCACCCAACCAGCCCGTGCTCAGTTTAACGAGTACTGTACTCCAACGAACTGTCAAGAAGAGCAGCAAGATTAGACGCTTGACTTCGAAAACCGGTGGGTGCGACGAAGGATTTGGTGTCGGTAAGCATTCTTCGCCCTTGCGTCGACTCGATGGCCTCCCAATCGGACTTCGTGGGCTGTCGCCAGCAATGGCATGTTCTTTGATGGCCTCGAAGTACGTGTCGATCAAGAATTACACGTCTTCCTTTCAACTTTAACAGTTGGCCGAGCTCCTTCAATATTTCAAGGGGAAAATACAGGGCTGGCTCTCGTGCATGGCATGCAGTGTCGCAGGCACCCCAATTTCACGCGACAGGGGTATCCTTGTACAACAAAGCCTAGCACCTACCCCACCTCCACTCCGCACCGACGAAGGTAAAATGTGAATGCGGCTCCGAGGACGAAGACCGAATTCATGTAGTTTGGGAATATTATTGTACAAGAAGGAGAGGAAATCGTGAATGACTGAGCTGGGAAAAATAGTAAAAGGAAGATACAGCGAGATTTTTGAGGCACGGAATAGCCAGGAGAAGACGGTAGCTATACTTGGGCATAGAACGTGAGTTGGTTGAAGACGCGGGAAGTGACATCGATAGGGTAGATATGCCAGGGCAAACATTTTTCAGAAACCTTTGGCAAACTAGGAAGGAACGGTTGACCATCGGTCTTATTCGGTCCTGTGGGAACCATGCTCCATGCTCCGTCCTCTCGAAGACGCGTGTGGTCAATGATCTAACTGCTATGATGCGCAAACCATAAGAGTACGCCCCCCTCCCCCCCAATCCGCACCAGATTTCTTTGAAACGGAGTTCCCCTCCTCGCCGCTGATCTGAAACTGCCGCTGGGTGGGGTCATCGGACACCCCGTGAGTCACCCCTCATCACTACTTTCATGATGTTAGGGTCGACCTAAACAGGCCAAAAAAAAACTGCGAAACCTGCGATCACAGGTTTTACCTGCGAATATGGAGGCTTTTTACCTGCGATCGCAGGTCGGGAGCAGGGCCGAAAAAATCACCTCTGCTCCTTTTCTGCGATCGCAGGTACAAACCTGCGATTTCTGCGATTCTCTTGAGAGCATCACGTTGGATCGGGCACAGCACACCAAGCCACCTATATCACCCCCGTAGCTGCACTATAACCCCCAGAACTGATCGCCAGAGTAGGCTAGGGTCCATGGCCGACAATAGAAGGCGCCGGGAGCTTCGGGGAACCTCACAGACGGCTCCGCAAAGGCGGCGACTGCGGCGCTCCGACCAAAGAGACCATGATACAACTTCTACTGCTGCGATCAAGGCCGCCGTGATGGCCTTCCTTGTCCTGGTCGGTGTTGCAACGGCAGGAGCACAGGCCGCTGAGCTGTACGTGCCGCAGCAGCGGGCACCTGTCTACAATCCCCGACGTCTTGTCTGGGAAGATCATGTGGAAGACTTGGAGAAGCGAGGACCCAACTGCCGGCGACGACCTCGCGAGATATGCCTGGCGGAGGGCTGATGCCCACAGCAGGAGGCATTTGAGGCCGTCCTAACCCATAACCAGCAGCAGCAACTGCTTCCCCGCTCGTCTGGAACCGTAAAGGAAGGGACCCAACCCTCCTGGGCCTTGATACCCGCGGTGTCACACTGTTTTGGTCGGCCATGGTGGATGTTTGTCTGCTGTGTACGGCCTCTGCTGTTGTGTACGGCCTCTGCGGTCGTCGGGAGCGGTTTGACCGCCAAAATCGCAGAAATCGCAGGTTTTTTAAAGATTTAAAACTTTGTGCTCTGCTTCGTTTAAAACGCCCGCATTTTTTTTTCTGCGATCCGGGGTCTGAAACCTGCGATCGCAGGTAAAATTCCGAGGTCGTTTAGGACGACCCTAAGTAAACTTGATCGACTTCGTAAGTCGCGAGGGAAGGGATTGCTGTAACCTTCTCGCGATAAAAATATCTCAGGCAGGAACCGCAGGAGGGGGTCCAACCCCCCCCTCCTATGTGACCCCGGTTGGGTCGTCTAGCTGGCAGACGTGGAGGATAGGGGCCAGAGGGGCAGACGACAGAGTCCAATGATGGGAGAAAAACAAACAACAAACAAAAAACCTTCATGATGAGTCCTTATTTTCTTGCAGCTGCCCCGTATTTGGGGTCTGTTCTTTCCTGTACGCGCATTGTTACACCACAAATTCAGGTTTTTGTTCTTTATACCACGTCGGAACTGAGCACGTGCTCTTATGGCCAAGTTCTTACATTTTGAATTTTTCGAGGCTGCATTTCTTAACTGCTAAGTTCTTAAGTGCGAGCGCCATCTGTATGGGGTGCCATGGGCTGCCATGGGCTGCCATGGGGTACCATCGGGTGCCATGGGGAGCCACGGTGTAGCAGAGTCTGCTTCGTGAGATTTGCGCTCTCGGTCTAAAGAAGGTCGGAACTCGTTGCCTCTCACCAACCACGGACCTCGCCGTTGTTTGCTATCCTAAGGACCTGTGAGCCTGTGAGGGACTACAGTACAAAGGAAGTCAGTACAGCGTCAGTAGTGACAGCAGTGTACAGTTATGGTCGCCCCGGTGGTCTAGTGGGTAGCCTCGCAGCCTGCGAAGGACCAGGTCATGGGTTCGAGTCCCGGCAGAGTGGGTTTGTTTCTCACTAAATACATCCTGGTCTAGGATGAAAGCGACGCGCTGCAAACAAAGCTCGTTTGTTTGTAAACCATAATCGACTTTGTAAGTCGCGAGGGAAGGGATTGCTGTACCCNTGGGTTTGTTTCTCACTAAATACATCCTGGTCTAGGATGAAAGCGACGCGCTGCAAACAAAGCTCGTTTGTTTGTAAACCATAATCGACTTTGTAAGTCGCGAGGGAAGGGATTGCTGTACCCTTCTCGCGATAAAAATACCTCAGGCATGAACCGCAGGAGGGGGTCCAACCCCCCCCTCCTATGTGACCCCGGTTGGGTCGTCTAGCTAGTAGAAGTGGAGGGTAGGGGCCAGAGGGTCAGACCACAGAGTCCAATGACGGGAGAAAAACAAACAAAACAAACAAGTAGTAGTCCGTGTGCGGCAAGGACGCTTGTTTTCTTCGAGAAGCAAGCGAACAGATAGACAAGACATAGCTGGAGGAAGAGAGATGACACATCTGCTGGGAGGACGATAGGGGGTTTGCAGAGGGTTTGAAGAAGGAAGCACTCCTCGCGGCGACAAGCAGCGGATCGCGAATCGCAGATCACAGGATCGGCAGGATCGGCAGGATGAACCAAAGTGAACCGTAATAATCCTGGATGAAATCCCGGGGAGACAGGGTTTTTGTCCCCCAGGGGGTAGGACAGCAGTTGACCTGCTGTGTGACCACAACACACTTTTTCGGTCGTGACTGCTGCGCGGCTTGAGGCTGGCCTCTCCTCTCTCGTTCCCTTGGTTCACAGAGATGGATGCATTCCTGCTGAAGAAGGACCCATCGGCGGCAGCGCGGTTGGGCTCTGGCGGCAAGCAACAAACAAAGTGCCAATTCTTGTACAATCCAAATCCTCGCCAATTCGTCTTCCCCGCTCCCAACCTGTCCAACGACGGCCGCAGTGACAAGAAAGGGCCACCCCTTGGCGGCGGGGGAGCATCAGGGTACTGGCAGTTCCGTACTTCCAAACGTGAGACAGATGATAAGGTTTTCGTCCCCCCGCCCGTCCGTTTTTGTCGCTCGTCTCTCTCTAGAATTTTGTTCCAACGGCCGCATGTTGACCTACTGCTGTGGTCTACATGTACCATTATTACCATTTTTTCCGCTGTTGGGGGCAACGTATTGCGCGCGCTTCGGGTTGTGGCACGTACGGCTGTTACTGCTGTAGGACAATGCTGTAACACCGCCTGTCTGTGCGATATTCCGTAGGGCGTTTGGTTTCGTGAGTCGCCCCAGGATCTAAGATTTCATACTCCTCTTTTGTCGGTTTGGGCGCATTTCGAGGCTGAACAGAACCACGATGTATTCTACGTGTCGGTGATTAGTTTTTAAGTCTAGACTACTGCTGATCTTCGGACGTGGATGCTCTGTTGATGAGGTGTTCGATTCCCAAGTTTTCTATCTCGAAAGTGCTGTCATGTGAGATCAAGTTTACGATTAAGGTTGTCATGTCAAAGAATAGTATGTTGTAGCTGGCTGACAGCAGTGCAGACGACGCTTGTATATCTACCACCAACCACCGCAGTTTTGGAGCAAGCACCTGCGGGCGTGTCGGAGATTTTCGCGGGCCTGAGCTTCTATTTTAATGGACGCAGTGGGGACAAACAAACGTGAGACAGGGAGGGGTGGGTGGTTGTCATACTGTTTCAATCGGATTCTGGCCGCATAAACTTGGAGTTGCAGGTATCTCCGTAGTTTCTGAAGCTGACCATGAGGCTCGTGGTTGGTATTTCATTGAATGTATTCCTTGTCGCTGTTCCCGCCGCCCGATCTCGCCCGCCTTACGACCCTTTCCCGTCTGGCCCTGCCCTTCATCGGCACGTCTTGGGTGTCGTGCGTGTTCCTATAAACACTGATACCGTGTTGCTGCTACTACTGCTGTTGCCTCTCTGCAGGATGCACCTAAAGGGTGCGGTGAGCAAACACGGCGGCCGCACCACGCCGTTCATGTCGATGAAGGGAGTCACGCACGTTATCGCGGAGAATCTGAGCGCGGTCAAGACGGACAAGGCCATGAAGGTAGCCGTGGCCTTGCCCGTATCATACGGCACTCTCTCCGCGAGTTGGAACCTGCTGTCAACAATATTCGTAACGAAGTTTGTGCCGCGAGTGTGATAGCTTTCCCTCAGATTCATGTTTATGGTATTGACAACACCTTAATTCCCCTCTGGCGTGGCGTCTTTTTGCTGAACCATGGCAACAACCACTTCCAATTGGACCCACGTACTTGACCTTGTCTACTGGAATCAGTCGCTCAAGATGAAGGTGGTACACCCAGGTGAGGCCGGTTGCAACCAACGCATGATTGCACCGTACATCGTCAAAATGAAACGCTTCGCCTGACAGTCTGTGCTGACGATGAGTGGTACAGGAGCCAGAGGCACATAAATCTCTGTTGTGTAGAGGGGATGTCAGGGTTTAGTTTGGAGATCCACAATGGCGTGCAGCCTTGGCGTATTTCATCTTTTGCTATCAGACACACGTGTGACATGTCCGGACGCTGTGGTGTTTTTCCTTTCCCTGGCACACAGCAAGCCTCACGTGCTCATGTCTCACTTGTGTGTAGCATGCTCACATACGCACGTCCTCGCTTTGCCTTGACCGCAGGGTCCTGCACAGAGGTACGCAACCGACATAAATCAATGAAATCCGTCTTTGCAGAGTCACCGATCGTTTTGAGCGTGAGCCGACCCCCACCTCCACCGCCCGCCGCCCGCCGCTTCCTTCCTGTTGACCACGATCACGACGACGCTGCTTGAAAAAAAGACTGGGTGAATCGTTGCATCGCCGAGGGAAAGCTGCTCCCCGACGCTCCCTTCCGCGTGGTGCGCAGCCAGAAGCTAGGCATGGACAAATTCTTCGGTTCGTCCTCGTCCGCTCCTGTCTCTTCCCCCTCTCCCGGCTGCAATGACGATGAAGGCCGACGAAATAATCGTGCCCAGAAGGAGAACGGGAAGGAGGCCAAGCCAAGGCACCACCGATCGGTCCCAAGAAAGTCTGGGGCAGTAGTGAGAGCTGGTGGCATTGAGGGGAGACGCGGGAGAAGAAACAGGGAGAGTCGAGGGCGAGGCAGGCGGCAAGGTGCAAGAGAGGGGAGCGGAAGCGAAAGCGTCCACGAAGTCGGCATTCCGACGGTCGACAGGAAGAGTAGCGGCGGCAGCAGCAGTAGCAGCAGCAACAGCAGCAAGAGCAACAGGAAGGGTATGAGGGAGATGAATGGCCGCACTGAGATAAATAGTGGCCGTTGCCCCGAAGTTGTCTCCTCAATGCACAACCCTTCGGGTCCAGTTGAGCATGGGTCGGCCGCACGGAAACACCTGCTGGGAGGAGCCAATACTTCGCCGACCACAAGAAAGAGACGCAGACAAGCTGGTGTGACGGTGTCTTCTTTCCGTGCGGATACGGCAGCGGGTGCGCCTGTCGCGGGAGTGCAAGAGACAACCGGCGTGCAATATCACTAAAACACCGTCACAGGATGTATTGACAGCCGAAGCCCCCAAGAACAGCTGCTTCTCATCCCCGCGTTGAAGGGACCTTTGATCTCAGTGGCGGCGGCGGGGACGGTGGTAGAAAGGGATGCGATGAGAGTTTGGATCTGCGACAGAGGTCGGAGTCCGGCGGCTCACAACGACCATCTCCGAGAGAGCATTGTCCCCAGTGGCGACGTTGTCCACGCAGTTCTCTGTTTTGCAGGCACGCTGTACATATGCCATTGTGGGTGCCGGGGTGTCTACATTGCACACGCATCTATAAAACAATGGGTCAGTCGATTAAGTGGGTGGCTCTCGTTTCTGAGGACCCTCCATTTGTACGGCTAGACAAGTTGTGTGTGGCCTTCTGTAGAAATGTGAAGTTCTTTTTGGCAACACTTTCATTTCGGTGGTAAGATGAGGCCTTGGGATGGCTGGGAGGTATCGACTGGACCATGAATCAATAGGTTTTTGTTCTGTTGAAACTGTGCTTAGTACGTAGGAACATGACTGCGCAGGAACGCAAAGTGGAAGGGAACAGTCTTTGGCAGACGAGTGGCGGGCTGCCTGGAAGAGGCCTTGCGTCAATAGGTTGCGCTGTGGTGCTACGGCGTGTGAAGTCTGTCTCTCGCTCTCCGAGAAACGGATATGTTGGGCTTGTCAAAGAGTTGTGTTGCGTCTGAGAGAAATTACTGCTGCTGTTATTTATGCTTCTCAGAGGGTTTACTTATTAGTCTACCCCTGCTTGCGTTTGCCTCGTTTTTGGACGAAACCAATGTTTAAAACCATTCAGTTTCTTTTGCAGAGGCATGCTGTTGAAACGTTAAAACATCAAGTGCCAGCAGCAAGACCCTACGGTGATGCTATGAAGTTTTCTGAAAACGGATATCATGACATATCAGGATTGGTCGTCCTGTGTACCTGAAATCTTCCACCACGCTTCACTGGGCGTTTTTTTTTTTGTTTCCCATTTTTGTATGCTGTCGTCTGCCCCTCTGGCCCCTATCCTCCACTTCTACCAGCGAGACGACCCAACCGGGGTCACATAGGAGGGGGGGGTTGGACCCCCTCCTGCGGTTCCTGCCTGAGATATTTTTATCGCGAGAAGGGTACAGCAATCCCTTCCCTCGCGACTTATGAAGTCGATCAAGTTTACTAACAACGAGCTTTGCAGCGCGTCGCTTCCAACGGAGACCAGGATTGAATTAGCGAGAAAAAACTCACGCTGTCGGGACTCGAACCCATGACCTGGCCCTCAGCAGGCTGCGAGGCTACCCACTAGACCACCGGGGCGACCGGTATGTGAGGTGGCGATTATTGCCGGTTCGCACAGAACAGCATTGATTCAATGGGATGCATTCATATTTGAACAAAGGGTGGAACCACGGATTTAGTTTGACAATCGTGAAATATTCGGAGGACCACGCGACCATTTCGGTCTCTGGCGCCGAGCAAGTAAATTTCCCAATAGAACAGTACCAGCCCTCAAGGAATATTTCGACTCCAGCTTTTCCTTGCCTTCTGAGCTACCTAACGAGAGACTGGCTTGCAGCGATTTTTTGCCGCAGCACGATCGACATCCCTGCACGCTAGGAGACCTACTGAGGTCGATCAGATAGTCTACGCGAAAGACATACCCCAAAGAGGGCTGTATGCTGCCCTCCCTGCCTTCCCTTTCGTCGCATTGATAACTGCGATATCCCTCGCCCTTCCTCCTGGCCTTTCTGACCAAGCTTCGACGGATTGAATTTCATCGGGCTAGGATACAGCCCGCCGGCGCGGCGAACAGTACTTCTCAACAACTTGGTTTCGTCGTCGTATCCATTTGCCCGCCATTGCCATCCTGATTGTTGTTTACGCCGACCTCAACCTGGTCTTGTTTGGTGTTTGTCTGGTCCTGATTGAGCGCGTCCGGGAGGAGGAGCCAAACGTTAGGGCGGATGTTCGTCCTGGGCAATACCTTAGAACGAAGAAATCGTGTTGTATCTGATTGTTCGAACCCCAATACCATTACTGTGCTTAACGGACAATGAGTCATCTCAGACAGGGAGCTGTCAGTGATTCGCGCGACCAGCAATTGTAACAATTGTAATTTTCTTAGCATTCAACTAGTCACAAGATCAAATCACCTGCTCCGCTGACTCGTGGAAGGCCGCCACCACGGCCGTTACTGCTATGCACGGAACCCTTGCTTGTCGGACGAGCGTCAAAGCCCCCGCTACGACCAGCCCAACCAAGCTCCATCTGCTTATTTCTGTCATGAATGGGCCGGGGAGAGGATAACAAGGAAAACGTACGCACTTTGAGGGTCGATCGTGGCATCAAGTTTTGGCGTTGTGTCATTCTTGATCCCAAGCAGCGCGGCATGAGGCACATATCGCTGCCAATACTCAGTGTCTATACTAATTTTTTCTTTCTTGCGTGCACTCACCTACGCTCCTCCCTATCCCTTGCTCGTTTCTCCGCCTTCCTTCGCGCAGCAGCCTCTCGTTTCATCTTCTCTACCACCTTGTCACTCTTATTACGACCCCCCCCTAACCCCCCCGCCCTCCCGCCGCCACCGCCTGCGCTACTAATGACGCTGGCGCTGAGATTGCCACGCAGAACGGACGTAGCAAACACCGGTTCCCCGCTACCCCCACCCCCTCCGTCTCCGGAAATCGCTGCAGAGGGTAAAGGGGTGGCGGGGTCTTCCATAGCCACCGTGAGAGCCGCAGCGCCTATCCCACCCCCTGAAGGAGGTTTGTTCTCTCGGAGATCGACGACGCAAACGGTTTCAACGGTTACTAAGGGAACGGTGCCTCCTCTTCCGTCAGGGTTTGTCGCAGACGGCGACGCGGGGCTGTGATGTGGAGAGGATCGATCCGCCGCTGCCCCTGCCATGTTTGTTCCCCCGCGAGGTGCGGCCCAAACGCCTGTCCCTAAAGCTTCCACCTATCATGTTTCGTAGCAATGGCGTGACGGGGTGGGGGGGGAGCGAGTCGATTGGGTGCTGGGGAGAAGACCACAGACATAGTAGCATGAGAAAGTCCGTCTTGTTTTGAGTTTTTTCGTGTATGGCCCGCGGATGAAGTTTACACCGCGTAGCGGTTCCAAGAATGCAACACCCGGTCGGTGCCTGCCACGGTTAGAGCGTCCACTTGCCTTGCCCCCCGCATGGACGTAGACGTGCCGCACCCGCTCGCTGCGCTCTAGGGCCTCCGCTATAGTCCGGATGCCCTAAAAGAGATACGTCAAGAATGCGACTTAAATCAATTGGAACCAGAAGAATGGGTGCGTCTCGTGGAGAGAGACAGTCACGTCCCGCATGTTTGAGTGCCGTTGTGGGTGTCGACAAGTAGAAGCAGGGGGGGGATGTGCGTGGTTGAAATGACGTATTTGGCGCGATGCATTTAGCTGCAAAGTTTTAGTTTTTAGGAGAGCTGCTTATCTATCGTCGTGGGAGTACTACCTTGGGACGGTTCGTACCGACATGAGCGTGGGTCGAACACCAATTAATGCGTTGGTGGCGGACCCAATCAGCCGCAATCTTCGTGTAGTCTAGACCAATTGGTCGAGAACAGCTTCATGGGTTCCAGAAAATGTGAAACAACAACTGCAGCGCTACCTGCAGAACAAGCGTTCATACCAGTAGGCCACACGTTTCTCGGACGGACGCACCGTACCGTTCACACCGACATATCGATCTGGCAGGTACATCGAGTCGTGGCAGTTTACCTGTTTGGATATTCTGTTGCTTCGAAGGTCCACCGACCGCAGTCCCATCCTTCCCGCCAGCACTGCTCCTAGAGCAGAAGCGCCCTCGTCCGTAATCTAATATATTACCACGCGACGAGTGGGCATTTAGTTGGCAGAGTACTCCTACACCGCGGCATCACTGTAGAAGAGTGTAGGGGGGCTGGGGATACTCATCTTCACGCATAGGCCCTCACACCCCCATAAAAGCCGGACTGAGGGGAGAACGGGGGGTATCGCTACCCTCGCTTCGACAGGATGTCGATCTCAGGTCCAACAGTCATAGGTTCTCCATGATCTTACTATCTCTACCAACAACTACCACCTCACACCCCCAGCCCCCTCGTTACTTATTACCACGCTCCAACCAAGGAAGTGTCCATGTTTTGCACCTCGTTGCCCCTCAGATTCAGCTCAGCGATCGTCGAATTTCCCCTCAGCAAGGCGGCAATGGCATGGACTTCCTCATCTGTGACACCGCTTTCGGGCAACTTTTGCGTTGTCAGCACCGGCATCAATAGCAGCACAAGCGTCGGCACCGCCACCAGCATGGACACCCGCACCAAAGCATCCGATCCGGGTTATTCACGCAAATGACCGCGAGGGATAATCGACACACGAGAAGAGGGGGAAGATTATGCTTAGGTAGAAGTTTCAACTAGTGAAAGAAATGCGACCGAATGCACTACGAGAGACAGATGCGAGATCACGTTCATGTATAGCGAAACAAGACTTCCAAATTCCCGAAGTGGCTCACGTAGAAGCAGGATTTATTTCATGTCTCGATCACGGGACATGGCGGATCAGTGATCAACTACGCAGTATGAAAATGAATCAACCCGTAGATCCGCCTCCCCTCCCACCCAAGCCTGGATAGACCCTGTCGCGACCGACAGAGGCCACACAACACGAAGACTAAAGGCGCACAAACACCCCCACGACGAACACTTCACAGCACCTGGATGATTCCCCTCCCCGGCTGTCCCACGGCGGCCGTCATATTCTTGTGGGATTCATCGTCCAGGCCGAGGGACGCGGCCGCCTTGACCGCGTGAATATATCTCAGCAGCGTCCGCCGCTTCGCTTCCTCCTCCACCGCCACCTGGCGTTGGGTTCAAGTTTGAGGGTTGAGCAAGACGCGAAGAGTAGCGCAGGAATGGTCGACAACGTAGAGGCTAGGCTCGGGATAACCGTGCATATGATGGCCTGTACTCTTCGCTTGGATACAGACTCGAACGGCAACAGCACTAACGTCGCCGCTGGTGCCGCCCAGGGCATCTTATGCACCGCTCACTCCTGAACCCACTGTTCCTCGTCACGGCATACGATAACAACGTCCGACAGATCGACGGCGACAATCCCTGCACACTTTTTGGCCGATCAATCCACGCTATATAGATACCTTGTGGATCGTCAACCACGACCCCACCAAAACCACCACACACAACATCACCATCGTTCCGAAAATGTACTCGCCTTGTTCTGCAGGTAGGCATTCTTCCGGCACATGAGCTCCAGCTGCTCGGCTCTTCCGCCCAGCTCGGACTCCTTAGCCTTCCTATCTTCCTCCTCAACTAGCAGCAGGGCGTACGCCTGTCGTGGTCGTGGTCGTTTGAAAATTCAGCCGAGTCAGGAGAGGGTTTGCGGATGTTTGTAGTCGACACACGCGGATCAAGTGGTGGCGTGCAAGGAAGTTATGTAGTCACGAGCCTGTTTTTCTTTTGCGATCAAGAGCAAGCTCAAAAACGGGGTTTCTACTCTCTTCAATCCACAAGCAATCTTAGGTCGGCCAACATATGCGAAGAAGACGATCATTACTGAACGGCATAGCGCGTACGACGTGGGTCTTTCGCGAAGAATAAAAGCTACGAGGTGAAAAAGCGAGGCTAAACGGGCCACGAGTAAGCATACATTTCGATTAAAGACAACAAGAGGCCATGGGCAGACTTTGCAATGATCCCCTGCCACGCGGCAAAGATTTCATCGCTTTCAGTTTCGGTTTACCTGACAGATCATTTCGACGGCCAGCTCTTTGAACCGAGGCGTCTTTTGCGCACGCTTGAGGAAGGCGTTGACCTCTCTGCAGCTCAGCCAATCACGATCAGCCGCACGCTTCGCCTTCACCAGGAGTAGCCCCTGTACCGACAAGCGACGTCGCCAAGAGAGACGCAACTTGTCCTTGATTTTGTTATATTCTTTGCCTATTCCCCGGCATCACTGGTCGTTTCTCCAATGACGTAGCGCTGGCCTCATCCTTGGTGGAGTCGTTTAATGTGCCGAGATGTTCGCGTTCCTAGGTACGCAACAGGATTAATAACCGGAATTATCCTTGAAGTGGTGGAGGCATCGATTCCAACTTTATCCAAGCATTTTTTTGTGCACGTCTTGTCGTGACACCCATTCCATGGTGCCCGCGTGTACAGCCAATGAGTTTCGCACCTGTGCCGGTTTCGACTCCACGTAGAACACCCCCCGCCCTGCACTTGCTCGAACGGCAGCGATGTCTCTTGCGTCTCCACCGCCGCCACCGCCGCCACCGTCCTCCCCGTCCGCCCCCGTCTCACCGTCAACTTCCGGACGGTCCTCGAAGTTCCCCAAAGCAGGGTCTTTGGCCTAAGCGTATTATAGTTTGTCCGCGAAACACGCGACAGGACATAAGTCAAGGAAACACGCGACAGGACACAGTAGTGTATGATCTTCTGGGTACGTGGCCAGCGAATCTGAGGGAAACGTGTCGGTAAGGGCGGGGGGGGGTAAATAGCATGCGCAAGGTTGTGCGTGAAGGAATCGTTCGGGAAAGTTTGGGCATACCACTGAGGAGCTCCCTTCTCTTGTGCCGACTTTGTCGAGGGTGCGCAAAAGGGATGTCTACGGGACATGTTTATGACGCCCAAACAGCGAAAACAACCCCTCCAGCTCCCCGTCCACTACGATGGTTCTCTCCCCCACACCTTCAAGACCTCGGGCCTGTTCTTTCCCGGCCCACCCACTTCACTTATTCGTTGATTCCATGTTTCGCAGCACCCCTACCTTGAGCTGCCTGTTGATGGCGCTGTTGATGACAGAGAGCTGATCCAACTCGTCCTGCTTGAGCCTGACCGCCTGGGTTATGATACGGTTGCTTTCGCCGGCCTCTTCCAGCTTTCGCTGTAGTTCTTCCGTTCGAACCATCAACGATTTCACCTATGCAAGAATGAAAGACAGAACCAAGAACACCGGTTAGAAAGCCAGGCGCAATGCCGAAGTTTGGGGTTGAATGAGAGATGAACGGAAGAAATATCGCAGATCAGGGACATAGCTACTAGGGTGAGGTTAAGGTTACAAGGCCCAAAGGAAGGGTGGAAGGTGTACACTGAGAGAGGGTGGAACGGGGCAGCCGACAGGTGTGTTTGGTAGCGAAGGCCAGGTGGATGGACTGTCGAGTCCAAATCACGAGTTCGAATATGTAGTATGGAAAATATTTTCTAGACTGTGCTACGCGTACACTAGCGTCTAGTCATCTTGCACTGAGGGAATGAGGGAACAGTCGGGGATATTTTCCCACACACTAAAATTCGTCTGTTGAGTGTCTCCAGGGACAAGGGTTGCACAGGATGCGGGGCAACAGGGAATGAGCTCGATACTAACGGTGTTATATCTTGCAAAATGTCAATGCGCCATTGATTGTGACAAGGTGATTCAGCTGTTTGTTGTACGCGGTCACGTGGGAAATTAAATCAAGGTTGTGCGTCAAATGTTCTCATACCGCATGGAAGCAAAAAACCTAACCGCGAACAAGCTCACCTGCGCTTCGGTCTTCTTAGACTCCTCTTTGAGGATGACTCGGGACTCCTCGTCCGATTGCATCTTGTTCAGCAGGAAGGACAGTCGCCCTCCCAAAGTGCGTACCTGCAGCCAGTGTCGTTGCGTAAGATGGCGTGTTTGAACGAAAAAGCACCGTTGGTTGTCACAGATAGTCTATTCAGGCCACGAATTAGCAGATAGCTGCGATGTGAAACCAGACATTTTGAACAGGAGCCATCTCGCGCGGGGTATGCCTCGTCACCCCGAGTACGTGATGCGGCTGTCCCAAGCAAGGAGTTCCCAATGTATGACATGCTTTCATCTGGATCCGGGAGGAGTTCATACATGAATTTGCTTTCGATCTATACCAAGTTGGGGTTCCGTTTCGAGACGCCCACGACACTGCCGAAGCTGACCGTACGCTTGACTTCTGAACCTGGTACCCTTTTCACCTTGTCCTGGGTCTCGACACGTTCGTCGTGCTCTTTGAGCTTAGCCTTGGCCTCCTCTCGGCACCGGCAGGCCAGCTGCGCGTTATGCTTCTTCAGGGCGGAGACTTGGTCCTGGCTCACACGCAAGTCCAGCTCCGCCTGAGGAAGAAAACGGCCAAAGAATAGAATAACTTTGCGATTATCGGCGTGCGGACTGGGCGGCAGACTAGACGATATCCGCAGAATGACTCGAGTGCAGCAACCAGTACGTCATTCTGCCGTTGAACGGGAATTCGAAGTTCGTTCGGCGCATTGAAACCCCCGTCAAGAACAGCGGCCTGACGGTAGCACGATAAAAGTATCGACAACATTATCGGCAACGATTCATCTCCGTTGCCCTAGTTCCAAGCCTTGCGTAAAAGATTCCGGGTCCGAAGGGAAAGTGGACCGTGCCACACACCAAGAACGTTCGCCACCGCTCCCATGCTTCGAAAGTTTAGGGACGCTTCTGCGAAAGCGACGGGTGGGTGCTGACAGTAGCGAACATGTGAAAGAAAAAGGTTTGATATGCCGAGAATTAACAACTTTGCGCCCGTGTAGGTAACGAATTCAGACGCTTCCTACGTTTTTGCTGACCTTAACACGGGATTTCCCTTCCTTGGTGCTCTCCTTGATCAAGCGGGAATTTTTCTGCTTCATCGCGACCAGTTCCTGGTCCTTGTGTCGAAGCGCCTGCTCAACCCCGATGCGGGTAGACGCCGCAGTTTTCCGTGAACGTTTCGTTGTTTTTCGGGGACGAAGGGGTAGAAAGGAGATGTATGGGCGTTGCGGATGGGATGGAGGTCAAGACACACGTGACTGAAAGCAAGCATGTCTGGGAGGCGGAGGAGCAGAAAACCAACAGCTGGAGCAGCGGAGGATCCGAACGCTGTAGCGGCTGGTACGAACCTTCAGTACGCCACTGGTGGTGCCCTTGACGTCTACTGTTGCGGTCGCCAACCCTGGAATTTGGTACGAGCTACTGCCAACATGAGGATAACCACACCTCCATCGCCTTGTTCTTGGCGAGCTCGGCAAGCTTAAGCCTTTCCAGCAACTGGAAAACCTTCTCGGCCATCTCTCTTAGCTGCTCCCCGCTGTCCCGAGACTCCATCTCCATCCTCATACGTTCCGCCTCGCTTCTTTGAACCTAGGTTGTAAAAAATACTCGTGTGAGTGTTGTTCCGACTAACCGTAGGGACGGTGCAGTCGTTCATTCAGTAAACGACGCGGCGCAAGATCACCCTTCGGTGTAAAGCTCTGGATCTTCCTGGTAGGAGCTACAGTAGGGCGCCGCCAAACTAAAAGCAAATTGACCCGACAGCGCTCCTGCACACGAGTTGCCCCCCCGTCTCGCTTCGACACCTTGTCCAAAAAGTTTGCTGTTCGTCGCAGGTCTTCCAACTAAAAACAATTTGTTGCGTTGCCACCCGCCATGGTTTGAGGCAACGACATCAGTCGAAGCAGCAGCGATGACAATGATGAATGAACGAACGTCTCCCGCTCTTTCATGTGCACCTTGCCCTGGAGCTCTCGTAGGCTCTGCCTCGCGTTCTCCGCACCGGTTACCAGCTCACGGTTCGCCTCCTCCGCCGAGCGTCTGCCCCTCGCCTCCACCTGGAGCTGGGTCTCGAGCTCGAGCGATCTAGCGTGCAGCGCTCGCAGCTTGTCTTCCATGCTGGACACCTTGTTTGGTTTGGCGGTTTTATGCGTTTTCGTGATGTACAGGAGGGAATAAGGTACCGAGAAGGTGTTACCCGTCAGCTTTGAAGCGAGCCATACTGCCAAAAGGGGGTGGACTTTCGGCACTATAGGCATCTTCGGATACTCTGCCTCCCAGGCATCGCGACTATTCATCGAGATGCTCTGCGTCGATCAACGTCCTCGAAAGAACGTCTAACTAAACAATATAACTTGACCTGACGGACTTCCCCATCCATGCAAGAAAAGGTAGTTGTTCAGGTCACCCATGTCCCTTGTTAACATAGCAACAGTCAGGTGTGTTATAGGCCAACCCATCGAGTCGAAGGAAGGAAGCAAGACCTCCAAACTTCACAACCACGCGCACATGCGCACCTGATCTTCTGCCTGTCGCTTGGCCTCCTCTTGCCCCTGCAGCTTCTCCAGAAGCTGGTACTGCTTCTCCTTTCGCACACGAAGCTGCTCTTGCAGAGACTCCAGCTCAACCTGCGTCTTCATCTTGAGCTCGGAGTTCTGGTGTTTCACCTGCTCCGATTCCGCTCGTAGAAGTCGCACCTGTTCATGGCGAGAAAAGGGTTCATGAGGCATCAAGAGAAGAGGTGTAGTCTCGTGTTGCGCCCATCGTTTCACACAGCAGTGGCAACATTTACTTGCTGTGATACGCTAGGCGGCCACCTTGGCAACATAGCCAATCGCGTTTCAATCAAACGAGTCTTTCCCAGAGTTGTTGTCCTGCAGAAAATATCGAAGTCAACAGGAGAAACGTCGCGTTCTCCCCCCTCTCCTCTGCGTTCTGATTACAACCCCGCCTTATGAAGCGTCCGGAGAAGTCTTGTCCTGTACCAGCTAACACACTTCCACGACGTTCGCGCTTGCAGGGAACCCACCTCTTCTGCACGGAGTTGTCCCTCCCTGGCTGCCCTGCCCGCCATCTCTTCGTGACTTTTGGCAGTAGTGAGGAGGCTGCCGTACTTGGAGCGCAAGGCCTCTAGCTCCTTCACCGTCGCCTGCGCGGTGTGTGCATGCGACACGGTTTCCCTTTTAGTTCATGGCGGAAAGGCGGTACTACCGCCGGGTACTTCAAATGTCGAGACTCTAAAGTTCCACTCTAAAATTGCACGGAACCCTTCCCGCAACAATCAAGACGTTTCCGCATGGACATGTTGTACACGGCAGTCCGAGCAGTCTTGCATATGCTCTGCTCTGCCGAACGTGGCGAGTTGCTTGCAAGCAGAAAGACGGTCAAATCCCGGGTTCTCTTCATCCTTCCAGACACTTATAAATGTTTTCAGGTAGTCGAAAACAATATATTGTAGCTGTTCAATGCAGCGAGTGATGTTTGTTTTTCGTGGCATCTTTTACATGTAGTCAAGGCCGATGTATGCATGACAGCATCCAACGAGTGGCTCATGTGAGGGGACTTCAAAATCAAATGCCCATAGTAAACCATGATAAACATGCGCACCTCGTTCGCCGCGCTCAATCTCGCAGTCTGCGCCTCCTCTTGCTCCAGGAGCCGTAGCAGCTCCGCATTCTGATCCGTCATGATCCTCAGCTGCTTGTCGCGGTCTGCGGCCTCCGCTTGAACTCTCTTCAACGCCGCCTCGGCCGCCCTCGCTCTCCCCTGCGACTCGAAAACTGTTTCTCTCAGGGTACGGTTTTCCTCCTCCGCTGTGAGTCGTTCCTGCTGAATGCGGGTCGCTTCCTCTTCGACCCTGTCCGACCGAAGAGTGCGATATATATACTGAAGTATTGGGTATCGCGTTACTTGCTGTGGTCAGCATTTCAAAAATGCCTTGCATCGTACATTGTAAAAACGTCTTGCATCATGTAGACTAGTTTAATAGCAGTAGGGATGACGCACCATGTATGATATGCGCCTCTACAAAAAAGGGATGATAATTATTCGGTTGGATTCTTTCGACTCAGGATAATAATTTGGCGTGATGGTGCACGGTGTCATGAATGGCGATGTTGTGAAGGTTCTCACTCAGGCAAAGGTGCTCTCTAAATGAACTCTGCGGAGGGAGCGCGCACGTACCCCGACCGGATAAAAATATTTGATGTCGTCTGCCAACGTCTGCTGGTGTAGTCTACAGACTACACCGTGTAAGCACTGCTGTGCTCCGCGTACATAGCGCCGTCGCTTTAGGTCTACGCCGACCACGGGTGGAGTCAGCGAGAGATACAAGAGTACGTACGGTCGCCCTTTCCGAAGCTGGTCATGCACATGTGTAAGTTCGCTGGGTCTTCGGCTATGTGCTGCGGCTGCTGCCAACTCGTGACAACAATGTAAGCTGGACGTGAGGACCCAAAGAAACAAGAGCCGATGCCGCGTTCCCACCACGTTTACACCCACCGGTCTAGGTTTCTCAGCAACTGGTTGTTCTGGTCCTGCAGAATACGCAGTTGCTCGTCCTTCATCTTCAAGGCCTCGTTCGCGCGGGACTCTCGCGCGGCCCTCAGGTCGGCCACGGTCCTCGTCTTCGTGGTGTTACCGGCACCACCCTCCTGCTGTAGCTTCCCCGCTCCTCCCGCAACGCTTCGTCTCCCTTTCTGCTGATCACCGTTTTTCGCGCCACCCTCGGCAACGGGCGCACGGGACGGCATCGGCGCACCAGCGGACGAATTGATAACATACGTGTCATCAAACTCATTGCTCCTGGGCCCGCTGCTGGTTATGCCTGTGCTGAGTTCTTGTGTGGCTGCCAATGGGTCGACTAGGTCCTGAGGACCAGACGAGTTGCGTACGCTCATGTTCGGACGTTCGATCCGGCGCACCCTGTGTGCTGCCCGGTGTCGGAGCCACGATGAGAGAGAGAGAGAGCGCGCGCACGCTGCTTCTTCCCTCCCTCCCCTAGTTCCCCCCCCCCCCCNCCCCCCCTCTCTCTCTGCGGGTCCCTTGTTTTATTGGTTGCCACGCGCTTTGTTGCGTTTGTACCTCTTGGCGTCGAAAAGCCCGTGTTCCGTTCATTTGTCGTCGGCGGCCGGGCGTTTCTCGGGTTTGCTTTGAGATGGAAGCGCTGTTTTTTCGCGCTTTACCGAATTCCTTCCAAAGGTGTTCCGCCGCTCCCGCGCCAGAAGAAATAGACCTGCTGCGCAGCTGCTGTGCAAGTAGACACAGCAAGCAAGAGAGAGGAAACGACACAGAGAGAGGCGAAGATTTAAGGTTGGGGCTTTCGAAGCAGAAAAAGGCATCGCGGCTACAGGAAATAGTCACGAGTTCACCTGTAGCGTTTGTTGAGCAGTGCGCAAATACTGAGCAATAGAGTTGTGAATCGGTACGAAAAAACGATATATTTTACATCGGCTGCGCAGCAGCCGATATAACGATATTTTCTCCGATATATCGCCGTAGGCGATATATCGGAGAAAATATCGGGCGAGCGCAGCGAGCCGTGATGGGGGCGAGCGAAGCGAGCCCCCCCATCGGCCCCCCCCGGCTGGTGAGGGGGCCTCGCCGGAGGCGCCGCCGGAGGCAGAAAATTTGGTGCATTTTCCTTTCATTTCCCGTCAAAATGGGCCCAAATGCGGCATCAAAAAGGGCTTGACTTCAGCTGCAAACATCGCACGGAATGTAGAAAAAAAAAAAAAAGATTAAGATTGATGTATTGTCGCGTATCCTCAGCAGTACCCTCCTTCGGTCTCTCCCTGTGTCTACTTCCCGGTTGGTTCTGGACATGGTGCTGTTGTCTGCTGTTTCTGCGCTGCTGTGCTGTGTGTGTGTGGCGTACAGGGGCTCCGTACTGCTGCGCATACCCTAAATTTGATTCACGGAGCCCCTAAGAAAACATCGGTCGGAACATCGGCACGAATTTTCGATACCGATATCGATATATATCGGACGATATATATCGTGTACATCGTTCCGATTCACAACTCTACTGAGCAAGCACCCGCGCAGCGTACCTGTTGTGGCATCGACAGCTCGACAGCGGCCAGGCACCCACCTATGACTGCATAGGACAACAGAAGAAGGAAAGGGCGCTTGTACTACTGCTGTACCGCTTTTTGAACTGCTGGACCAGAAGCAGCAGGCTGGAGGTCCGGCAAGCAAGGTGCTAAAGCAGCAGTATGCAGTAATTTTCATGGGGCCCAAGTCTAATATAGTCGGAACGTTGCTGTTGGAGAAAGAAGACGTTCAAGAATAGTCGAACAGGCGACGAGAGTGGACAAGCAAGGCAAAGGTTGCTGCAAAGATGGTGGTGGCGGCAGAGGCAGGCGTGCATCCTCCGCCTACAGAGAGCGACACCGGTACCAACGTCAGCAACAATGACGATAGCAGCACGGGTCAGCCGCCGTCCGGAGGGGAGGATAAGCTACTCCTGGCAATGTGCCGGACCATCAGGAAGGAGACGGGGTGGCAGGAGAGGACGCTGCGGCAAGCCTGCGACTGGGCCACAGGTGCGTCGAGCGGATGGGAGGCGTCATGCCGCAAGCGCATCTACTTATTTGCTTCTTCCCTGGTTGCTTTATACTGCTGCTGCCGCCAGGTGGCTATATGTTGTGAACGTGTCCTTGCCCTCAAACCTTGCGCCAACATCCTGCATCCCCAACATAAATGAAACTGCGCTTGTCGGATCGATCGATCGATACACAACCTCCTTGGGGATACAGACGAACGTGAATGCTTCGCCAATCCGCAGCGTTGGCTTGAGTCATAAGAGAAGGGTGCATACTTCCCCTTTGGAAAAGTCACCATAATATAGATTCGTTTCGCTTTGTTTCTCCTATAGCACAACCAGGACCTCCAACACTGATTTTCGCTGCTGAGCGTACTGAGAAACCTGCATCGGCCGGTCTCACAGAACACCTCGTCCATGGCGTGCATACATACCGTCAACGCATGGTACCGCACCTCCTCTTGATGACCCAACGCTTTCTTCCAGCTGCACCTACCAATACCTGTGATACGCAGCTGTGGTGCCAGTTAAATTACTGCCGTTGTGCATCACTTAGACGATTGGCAGGTACTGGAAAGGCGCTGCAACTTGATTTTGCCCGTTTGGTCTTTTTAGGAATTGAACATACGATCACAGAGAGCCGATTGTATTCGTTAGAGATAGAACGCTGCAGCGGGGAATCGGCGCCCATCGAGACGTTACTCTTTTCCGTACAAACCACTACCACGTTCCTGATTGCGTCAGGGTTTCCGTAGGCGGCGTCACTGCTAGCAGCCCCACTTGTCGGAAGGCAATTCCTCAACAACAGGTGAAACCGACAGATGATGCCAATCAGCCGCCGTACGTAGGGCGCGAAGAAAAAAAACAGCAAGCAAGAACTGACCAGGCCCATGCTGTTGTGTGCCCAAGCTGGCGTTAGCGCGAGTAGCCGCTTTTACTACTGTATCTCCCCATACCTGTTCACCCTGTACGTGTGGCTGACTACCCCGATTCGATATGGGCAAGCTTTTACGCGCATCGTGTAGGTCTCATGTTTTATATCCACATCGTCCGTTGTGTTTCCTGCTCGAAAAGGCGAGCTCGAGCAAAATCAGCATCCCGGAGTAGGGATTGCGCGGTATTACCGTGTGGTCGAGCTCGCGATGGAGTCCAAGTCCGAGGACGTCGTTGAAGCGGCCCTGGGCCAGCTGCACAAGCTAATCGGTGAGCCTGCGATAAGTTGTTTAGCACAAGCTTCGCATGGCTCCAGCGCATTTGTAACAAGCCTTGCTTACGCGAAAACGGGGTTGGTGGACTGTTGGGTGCTGGGCATGGGTACTTTTCTAGGCTTCGTGGTACGTGCTGCTTTGGCAGCGTCGCCTCTGATCGTGATAATGTGTTTCCTATTGTGCACACAGGGCTTACTTTAGGGTCCGCGCGTGTATGAGTCGCGTCCCATTTAGAATGCCTGTTTGCTCACCTCGCCTCTGGTTTGGAACTGGTATCCTCGTGGTTGCGTGCAACACGCTACCCATGCACGGCCTCGCTGTCAATCTAGATAACGTCGGTTGTTCGTGTACCGCGCGTGCTCTATCTTTGTCACCCTCGCTTTTTTGGGGGGGTGCTTTCTTGCGTCATGTTATCGCTGACAAAATCAGCCGGTGGCCTCGTGAGGAGGAACACCATGACCACCCTCAAGGACGGGAGCTCCGCCAACCTCGGCGAGATCTTGGTGGGGGTCGTGATGGAGACAGGATCGCGGGATAAGACCGTAAGACGGGGCGGTCGGGCCCAGGCCGTGAGGTGCCTCTTGTCGTGCGTGACTTCTACGGAGATTGAGGCAAGCACGGCATAGAGAGAGAGAGAGAGAGAGAGAGAGAGAGAGAGAGAGAGAGAGAG